TCCGGGACTGGACCCGGGGCCAGCGGTGTGGGATTATCCAGCACCTTAACCACCACACCACCTGCTGGTCCCAACATTACAAGTAGTTTTATAAAAGTATTGAAAGACACACATTGGGTCTCTGAAATTATGGAATGCTTTAATAACAAGATAACTAAATATGGAAAAGCAATTACGTAAACCATTTAGGCATAAATAAGGAAAATGCATAGGATGTGTTGAATGAAAACACTTGATAAACTAATTCATTTTTCTCTTGAGAATTCAGGTGGCCTAGCAACTTGCACTCTTGGGCCCAAGAATAAAGAAGTTGCCTTTATTCTCCCTCCTCCTCTTCCCGCAATAACCTCATATACTGTAAAGTATATTAGTAACTTTGGGGAAAAGAATTGATTGCAATTGTGCTTATATTGAAAGGATGATGGTAGACCTAGTAATCCAAATGAGAGAGTCATTAGCTGATAAGTATAGTGCTGATGAGATAAACACAATAATAGGTACATTAAGACAATGTGATAAACAATTAGTTCAGTGACATCCTTTGTTACCAAATAGTAAACACCATAATCACCAACCATGTTAGTGTTTAGGTGACATCAGAGGCATGTTTAATCCCACACAACAGGTTATTATTATGTCTTGAACATGCCGAAAATCATCTATAAAACATTCAAATAGCCAAGAATCTGAAATACACTTTGGTCTCAATTATCTAAGTGGTCTTAGGGCTACCGTTTCTAGAACCTGAAGGACAACATGACTGCCAGATAGAGGAATTTATTGTTTGAATAACAGAATGTCAGTGAATTTCAGGATGTTTGTCACATCATATGGATTTTGGAAAAAGTACTTTGTAACCAAGATTTTCCTGAATGAAGGAGCCAAAAATTTATATATTTATGTTTATGTAGTGGCTAAATATTGTCCAAAATTTTCTTGATTATTTGTATATATAGATCCAAACACTAAGGCTTACTTAATTTAATCATGTATAATTTTATATCATGCTGAGAAAATTTTATTTAAATATGTAATTTTGTTATAATATACTACTCCTAATATTTTAGGTTTAACTATAATTTGATGCATACCAAAGAAGAGCAGAGCATGAATTCTCCCATCAGATTAACTGGGTTTAATTCTCGTTTGGTCACCTTTTATCTGTGTATCCATAGGCAAACTATGTACCTTCTCTTAAATTTCCTCACTTAGAAGATAAAGGTTATAAGAGTATCAATTTTACAAGGTTAGTAGGGAGAATAAATGAGTTAATTCATATAAAGTGCTTATACAGTTCTTGGTACATACTGAGAGCTTAATAAATAAACTTATTTTCTTAACCATATCATATTTTCAGAAATACTAGATGAAAATATGTCTAATTCTTCATTATTAGGGTCGGTGTACTCGAGAGAACTGCAAGTACCTTCACCCTCCTCCACACCTAAAAACTCAGCTGGAGATTAATGGACGGAACAATCTGATTCAACAGAAGACTGTAGCAGCCATGTTCGCCCAGCAGATGCAGCTTATGCTCCAAAATGCCCAAATGCCATCATTTGTAAGTCATAGCTGTGTACTTTGAAAATTGCCAATGTCTTCTCCTTTCTTCTCTTTCTTTCTTTCAGAATATATATCTACATTGGCATAAACTTGCAGGGCCTTTGGGAAATTAGCAACCACAGGATTTAGGGCACTGGCTAATATGTGAATTGACACTATAGAGCTGTGCACTGTGAAGGAAACGATCAGGTTTGTTGGATTAAAAGCCAACATTTATGTGTGAGTTCATTTATTTATGAGATGAGTTTATAGAAGAATGAAAACAGAACAGGAGCATTTTAAGCTAAAAAGGGGGCTTGATTATTATTATATGGAAAACTTTGAATTCTAAAACATTAATTTAGACAAATTTCCTGTTCTTGTATTTTGTTTTCACTTTGGAATCTTTTTTTATTTTGAAATAATCTTAGATTTATAGAAATGTTACAAAGATGGTACAGAGAGTTCCCATATTACTCCTTACTCAGTTTCCCCCAGTTAACATCGTATATTACCATGACAGATTTGTCAAAAGCAAGAAACTGGCATTCACACATTACTATTAACTAAACTTCAGACTTTCATCAGGTTTTCCATTATTATACTCTTTGTATTCCAGTGTCCAATCCAGGGTCTCAGAGTACATATATTTGAGTTCCATGTCCCTTTTCTGTTCTGATCTGTGACC